CCTAAGTTTCATTTCAATTCAATTACAATAAAAATTTTAACAATTATATTTTTACAGATTTCACTTTAACAATTTGATAAAATGGATGAAATAATTGAATATAATCGTGTTATAATATCAAAAATAGAAAGATAAGACGTTTGGCATATCAATAAATATAATTTAAATAATTATTATATTGAACTATTTTTTATTTTACTCTGCCTTATTGTTATAATATTATTTTAAGTTGTCGTGTTTTAATTTACTTAAATAATAGAACAAATTGTAAAAATTATTAAACTAAAAATTATTGTTACAAGATATTTTATGAAAACTAAAAAAATAAAAGGAATTGAGAAGTTTTCTAAATACTAAAATTATGATTGCTGATAATGTGATCTGAAATTATTATATCTGAAATGATTATTGTTTTAAGATATTACTCAAAAAATTAATTTTGTGATCTGAAATAAGTCCATTTAACAAATTTTTATTTGTAATTTTAATGTAATCGACATCTGAAGTTAATTTTGTGATCAAAGCTTTCCAAACCACTACTACTACTACTGTTGTCACTTATTACTTTCATAAAGACACACTTTCACACTAACAGATAGGATTCTAAATAGTAATTAGCTTTTGAATAATTGGCACAGTTTTATCACAATATGCCTGCATTCTGTCAATTGGACCGTTTTCTTATATTCATATTTTTTTGAGATCGTTTCTTGTAATTTTGGTTCTAACGAGCATATTAGTTTATTTTGTTACTTACAACAGATTTTGTATTTTTGTACGTGATAAACGTGTTATTTATGCTTTAAATAACTAAAGAATTGTGTAAAAATTGACGAAAAGTTTTTACCAGCAATTTTGCCGTCATTTTTACTACATTAATGTGAGATCCGACCTCAGAATAAGCCCAAAAATATTTATTTTCCCCCCTAAATTTTTAACGTATTTTAAATGAATTTGTCGCCTCCACGTTAAAATAACATTGTCAGAATAAAGGAATCAAATATCGATAGAAACTTATAACTTTCTTTTTAATGTAAACAGTCAACCCTCGAACAATTACATTTTTCAGCTGCAAGACAAAAAGTTTATAGTTAAAGTCCGTATTCGTCATTTGTTTTGGTCCCGGGAACAACTTTAACCTCCACATTTGCAGGACCAACTCTACTTCTCACAATAGGGAATCACATAACTAATTTTTTCAGCCCGAAGCTATAAAAGCGACTTCTTTCCCCCTCCTCGGGGGAGTCTCACATCTACGGCCGACGGAAAGCGTTAAGTCGTGGAAAACATTAACTGTGTGCGTCCATCATCGGCAAAAAGGCCAAAATTTTTCCAACCTACGTGGAAGTAAACTAGAGGTATGGAACAATTAATGTAAACTCTCCGCGAGTTAGGAGCTAGTAAACTAAATTCACTTCCCCCGATGTTAGATTTTATATTCTTTATTTTTTTTTCTTTTCGTTAATCTAATAAATCGTTGTCTCCATTGTTAAATGGTGTCCTTTTACTCGCATATCGCCTACGCCTCGTCGACGACCCTTTTCACCTCCTCCACTCGACCTGACAAAAAGAATCCCGACCCTTCGGGACCGCATTCGTAATTTAGCCATCTTGACAAGTGAGCAGGTTTAACGATCTGTAGCGAAAAGGGAGAGTCGACAGNGTTTAAATAACTACAGATCAGTAAATATATATTTATCATTTTATTTTTTACATGTAAGCTTTGTCCTTATAAAAGTAAAGGTTTAACAGCAGTGCATGAAATATTATTTGGCCATTCCAAATAATAGAGGAAAAAGTGGTATTATGAAACACTGCAGGACTAAAACCGACTGTAATTGGACCAGTTTGCTTTGTGCATTGACACTCCCTACTTTTCTTATTTTATTTCTTATTTAATTCTAAATGAATTGAATTTTTATAATTAATTAACAATTAACCTATCTTCAACAGAAAAAAACCGTCTTCAACGGACAACCTGTTTTCGCCGGACAACCTGTTTAGAAAGGAAATAATATAATTTAAAGGAAACATTTTTACTACAATTGAAACAAATGTGAGAACGAACGGTGAAGAGAGGAAATAACCCATACTCACAGCAACTGTGAGATAGGAAACCGCTACACCACACTCACTTTGTACAGAATGATAAATTTCACTTCAAAATGAAAACCAAGCGATTTTGTAAGGCTTCTTTTCTTTAGTCAGCTCCTTACACCAGTAAAGAATTGACGCGTCTTATTGGCGTTTAAAATGGATTTCGTTAATTAGGACGATTTTATCCGAGTTGCTAATAATATTATAGGAGAGAGCTACCGATCCGGGAATAGAAGTAAGCCTAATCCAAATTATACATATACTACATTTATTAAGAGGGAAAAAATACAGCGACAAAGAGTAAAATGAAATGTGCTTGATTAAATAGCACGTAAATTTAAATCTAAACAGGTTTCAACGACCTACACTATCTTATAATTACACCATTCGTCGAGAGAGAAAGTTTACGATAATCGTTATCACCTGGAACGTAATGCGAGAACTATGATACTTCTTATTACGTTTCTGATCTAAAGAATTACATGTATTAAGATGACGCGGGAACTAATTCGATCGGCGAGTGACATGGCTGAACGTCACGACAGTTCAAATAGCTATCACGAAACATCCGGGCTACGTCACGAACAGTATAAGATTAGAACAAAATTTATGAATTAGAACAAAAAGGACTAAAACATATGGATTAGAACAAAAAGCAAGTATAAAAGGTAACCTCACGTTTTATAAGAAACCAGTGGACTGACACGATTCCTTGCGTCCCTTGTGATACTTTTGTCAGATTCTGCAACTACTCTCATAATGCCTAGAGAAGGATTTAAGATCCTTCAGATTAACGTGCCCTCGTCAGGTGATTCATAAAGTTTTTGACAGTCAAAAAAATACGAAAGAAAGGTAAACACGGAGTTTAAAACAAGTATATAATGTTACTATATAACTCGAGATTTATATCGAAAAAGTTAATTATTTATTATTTCTTTTGCCTTCCAGGTAATAATAACCTCTATAAATGACGTGATTAACATAAACAAATAAAAAATGTAGAATGAAATATGTTGTTCAACGAGTGTAGTAGTAAATGCAGAACACAAAAAAGTATTCGATAAAGAAACGATAAACTTTACTTTTTATTTTTCTAAACTTTATTCCTGTATAAAATAATTTTAAATTATTTGTTTTATATGAAAATGTATAGCTTTATCAGTTACTTTTATATTAAATTTCTTATAAATAATAAATGAAAGTCCTTCCAATTTCCATCTATTCGTTGTATAACATAAAATTTTATAAGGGTAAATAGTTTTTTAATAATATTGTCTATACTTATGACAACCTGAATTATAGATTTACGACCCCCTTTCTAACTGTAGGTGATTAGATTAAATTCACACAATGCACTTAATAACGCTTAGAATATATTTTAAAGCTGAATTTTATTATTACTGATAGAACAATGCTTATTACTTAAATATTTCTGCATTTTATAAATTTTATTTTCAACTATTTTTCGCGAAAATATGAATTTTATCATTTAAGAACTTACATTTTGTTTCTTATACTAAAATAAACAGTAAAAATTATGTTTAACAAGTTTGCATTATTTCCTACTACTAAAACAATTTCAATGTTGTTTAAATTATTTTAATCTCTTATCTACATTTAAATATGATTTTAAGGGTGAGAAAAAATCAAAATCAATTGTACAAATTCATGTTTTCTTTGTTGATTATCGTATATAAAACGTAACGAACGTTATAGAACTTTCAATATATAAATAAACTGGCAAGGTCAATTAATATCGCTATTCTTTTATATGCATTGCTATTAATGTAATAGAATTGTTTATGTGAGCATCAATTAAATGATAAGTTCTATTATTACTGTAATGCCATACTTTAAATCTTCTTGATTCTTATATTCACTCCAGCTATAATAACTGCGATAAGTACGTTAACAATTTGACTTAATATTCATAAATCGTCAAATTGAAACTAAGCAATACATTCATTCTTTGAAATTTTTTTTTAAAACACGCTTTTCGTGTATTTGCCAACGTAGAATTCGCCTCTGTTCAGATTTTTCCATAATGGAAGCCAAATATTATTTTAAAGTCGGTGTTTTGCCTTCAGAGTAAACTTTTGAAGTAAGTATTTTTATCATTTCAAATAATTAGGATAGCATTTAACAAATCTTAACCTGTTAAAAGCTCAATGTTCTCTAATCAAGTAGAAATATATAACCACAAGAAACGGCCATAACCAGTTTCAAAATACACGCAGATCATTATTTAAATTAAGTATAATGTAAGTAGTTGAAATCCTTGAACAACTTTGAAGAGAAATACAAATAATTGCATCACTTCAAAGTTGTTGTAGTGCCATTTTGAATTTTTATGATTGGCAGATTATAGATGACGTGTCATAAAACATTTACTATGATTTGAGTTTTTCGATGGTTATTCTTTTACAGTTAGATAGAAATAATGTTAAATGCATGATTATTATGTATCACTTTTAAATCCTCAGGCCAAAGAGAATATTAGTGATGTTTATATTGAATTTATTCCAAATTATTTTATGTTTAATTATTACTTTACTCGTGTTGATGTATGTATTAGTGAAAAAATGGAGAAACAGAAGAATACAACTGAAAAATGATTCGACTTCGATTACACATGGAAAGACTTTCTCTTTATCTGGTGGTAAGATAATATTTGAACATTTATTATATTTTATAATACCATAAATATAATACGAAACAAAGTGAGTTTATGATACAGTTCGACTAATAAATATATTTGCTAGATTATTATACAGTGAATTCAATAAAAATAAAACATCCAACACTTTATAAACACCTTTTCTGTTATAGGAGCTATTACAGTATGATTGTTGTTATTAGTAGTGGTTTAGAAATCTTTGATCACAAAATTAATTTTTTTAGTAAATTACTATCAAATTAATTAAAATTGTAATAATTGTATGAAATAATATAACACCAAAACGAATTTTCTTTATCATTAATACTAGAATTAATTATATTCTTGGTGGATATTTGTCTTAATATTCTGGTATATGACAGTTTGAAATAATATAACACTGAAATTCTTTTGAAAAGGTTTTTATTTTTACGTTACAGTTTATTTAGGTGTTTCCACTTTTTCCTTCAGTTTATCTAAAGCAAAAATTTCTGCATTAAATTAAGATTATAAATATTTAGAAAACTTTTTATTTCATTTTAGTTTTTATAAAATATCTTAAAACAATAAGGCTATATTAATTATTAAACGTTTTTATAAATTTGAATTAAATTAATTATATTTTAACAATAAGGCAAAGTTTAATATATTCTTTTTAATTATTATAAAATTAATTTGCAATAATAATTTTTACAATTTGTTCTAATATCCGAGTAAATTAAAACACGACAACTTAAAATAATATAACAATAAGGAAAAGTAAAATAAAAAATTGTTCAATATAATAATTATTTAAATTATATTTGTTACTTATTTATTAAATATCGCAAAAAACAATGCTTTTTATAATATTTGTGGCAATAACAATTTTTTAAATATTATCTGATGTTTTACACCGAAGAAGTTTGATGTGTAAATAACTGTAGCTCCAGTTTTTAAAAATTTTCTTTTTCCTATCTGTACAATTTTAAATATAAATAATTCGTTATACATTGTGAAATGATTTAATAACTTTTGTAAATTACTATGTTTAATCCAACCAGTTATTTCCGATGTTTTTCATCTATAAAATGTAATCCATGAATTTTTTTGCTAGTAAAATTGACTTGTAATTTATCTTTCGCCTGTAATTGATACATTTTAACAGAATCTATATAAATGTCTATTACAGCTTCTATAATACTGTGTAATGCTTTTATGGCCAACTGTCGGTAAATAATTTCATGCTCTTTCACTTGAAATGCTTCAAAATCTATTAGAATCGCATTTTGTAATTTTATATAAATAAAAATTAGGATTAGTATTATTTTATATTTAATAAGAAAATAACGAAAAGATTTCATACATAAATATTTTTTACTAACCATATTGAATGTTTATTGATATACCAAACGTCTTGTCTTCTTATTTTTGATATTATAACAAGATTATATTCAATTATTTTATCCATTTTATCAAATTGTTAAAGTGAAATCTGTAAAAATATAATTGTTAAAATTTTTATTGTAATTGAATTGAAATGAAACTTAGGGGAGAACGGGGCAACTTCGGCATGCGGGGCAAGTTTTTCAAGCGTTTTTTTTTTAAAAAAACAAATTAAAAGGAGACTTTGGTTATAAATTAGGCAGTTGAGTTTTATTGGTGGCTTGTTGAGTGTAGTGTTTTTATTGTTCTCCAACAAGCGTAGTTGAATTATCAAGCAAATTTTTATTTTCGTTCAATTCCATATAATATTTTTTTTCCATTTATATTGAATTGGCAGGTTTTGTTATAATTCCATGATAACGAAAGTTACTTTTCCTGTTAGAAGGATGTAACTTCAACTTATTCACGTGGCCAGATCGTGGCTTGGCATTCTGTTCTCAGGGTTGTACTTAATGTTTCGAAATCATGACTAGCGGGGTAAGATCGGCAACATAAAGCCACATTAGAAGCAAAGGATAAAAATCAAACAGATGATAAATGAAAACATGTTTGCATTTGTTATTCATGTATATATGTCTTTGAACTTGCATTTCGTTGTAATAATATTAAATGGGTGTTGGATTTGTATTTCTTTGTTTTAATAGTGAATTCCAACTTATACATTGTTAATAACATAATTTTATATACGTGCCTATCTTGCCCCATTACTGTTGCCCCTATACCAGGGGCAACTTTAATAAAAATAATTAAAATAATTACAACTTTACAAAAAGAGAGAAGTTGCCGATCTTGCCCCTATACCCGGGGCAACTTCGTCAATTTCTCTCTTCTTGTAAAGTTGTAATTATTTTAATTATTTTTATTTCCAAACTGATTTTAACCAGTTCTATAGTAAGGTAACATTCCAATAGACAATATGCAAAGCTTTTTTTTCAGTTTATAGCAGTATTTATTACACAAAATTTAAGTAAAACTTAACATGCCGATCTTGCCCCGGTTTCCCCTATGTTTTTAAAATGAAAAAAAAATTCAGTTACAAAATGAAATGAAAGTAAAAGATTATAAAGTATAAGAATTTAACTTAAATTGTACAGTAGCAATAATAATAATATTAAAAAAGTGTCTTTCATAAAATCAAATTTAAACTGTGTGATCAGCCAAACTCATTAATCCTTGAATTACTATATGATTTAACTGATAAACTATAATTAAAAATATTAAATTTATAAAATGAAACTCTGATTATACACACATATTGTATTTTTTAATTATAAACTCATATAATAATTTAAATCGAGATGAAATAAAATATCAATAAATTTATAGAATCAATTTTACAACAATAAGGTAATTTATTTTAAAAATAACGTATATAATTAAGTTAACTAAAACATAATAAAATTGTAACACTATCAATAATATTATCATTTTAATTAATTTCTATACATTTAAATTTATATTTTTGAGTATTTATTTAAATACTTAATTAAAAATAACTTAATTAAATAAGTTATTTTTAAAATAAATTAATTTATTGTTGTAAAATGTATTCTTTAAATTTATTGATATCTCACCTCGATTTAAATTATTATATGAGTTCATAATTAAAAAAAAACAATATGTTTATATAATCAGAATTTCATTTTATAAATTAAATATATTTAATTATAGTTTATCAGTTAAATCATATAATAATTTAAAGATTAATGAGTTTGTTTGATCACACAGCTTAAATTTGATTTTAAGAAAGACACTTTTTTAATATTATTATTATTGATACTGTACAATTTAAGTTAAATTCTTATAATTTATAATCTTTTACTTTCATCTCATTCAGTAACTAAATTTCTTTAATTTTAAAAAAATAAGTTTCATTTCAATTCAATTACAATAAAAATTTTAACAATTATATTTTTACAGATTTCACTTTAACAATTTGATAAAATGGATGAAATAATTGAATATAATCGTGTTATAATATCAAAAATAGAAAGATAAGACGTTTGGCATATCAATAAATATAATTTAAATAATTATTATATTGAACTATTTTTTATTTTACTCTGCCTTATTGTTATAATATTATTTTAAGTTGTCGTGTTTTAATTTACTTAAATAATAGAACAAATTGTAAAAATTATTAAACTAAAAATTATTGTTACAAGATATTTTATGAAAACTAAAAAAATAAAAGGAATTGAGAAGTTTTCTAAATACTAAAATTATGATTGCTGATAATGTGATCTGAAATTATTATATCTGAAATGATTATTGTTTTAAGATATTACTCAAAAAATTAATTTTGTGATCTGAAATAAGTCCATTTAACAAATTTTTATTTGTAATTTTAATGTAATCGACATCTGAAGTTAATTTTGTGATCAAAGCTTTCCAAACCACTACTACTACTACTGTTGTCACTTATTACTTTCATAAAGACACACTTTCACACTAACAGATAGGATTCTAAATAGTAATTAGCTTTTGAATAATTGGCACAGTTTTATCACAATATGCCTGCATTCTGTCAATTGGACCGTTTTCTTATATTCATATTTTTTTGAGATCGTTTCTTGTAATTTTGGTTCTAACGAGCATATTAGTTTATTTTGTTACTTACAACAGATTTTGTATTTTTGTACGTGATAAACGTGTTATTTATGCTTTAAATAACTAAAGAATTGTGTAAAAATTGACGAAAAGTTTTTACCAGCAATTTTGCCGTCATTTTTACTACATTAATGTGAGATCCGACCTCAGAATAAGCCCAAAAATATTTATTTTCCCCCCTAAATTTTTAACGTATTTTAAATGAATTTGTCGCCTCCACGTTAAAATAACATTGTCAGAATAAAGGAATCAAATATCGATAGAAACTTATAACTTTCTTTTTAATGTAAACAGTCAACCCTCGAACAATTACATTTTTCAGCTGCAAGACAAAAAGTTTATAGTTAAAGTCCGTATTCGTCATTTGTTTTGGTCCCGGGAACAACTTTAACCTCCACATTTGCAGGACCAACTCTACTTCTCACAATAGGGAATCACATAACTAATTTTTTCAGCCCGAAGCTATAAAAGCGACTTCTTTCCCCCTCCTCGGGGGAGTCTCACATCTACGGCCGACGGAAAGCGTTAAGTCGTGGAAAACATTAACTGTGTGCGTCCATCATCGGCAAAAAGGCCAAAATTTTTCCAACCTACGTGGAAGTAAACTAGAGGTATGGAACAATTAATGTAAACTCTCCGCGAGTTAGGAGCTAGTAAACTAAATTCACTTCCCCCGATGTTAGATTTTATATTCTTTATTTTTTTTTCTTTTCGTTAATCTAATAAATCGTTGTCTCCATTGTTAAATGGTGTCCTTTTACTCGCATATCGCCTACGCCTCGTCGACGACCCTTTTCACCTCCTCCACTCGACCTGACAAAAAGAATCCCGACCCTTCGGGACCGCATTCGTAATTTAACCATCTTGACAAGTGAGCAGGTTTAACGATCTGTAGCGAAAAGGGAGAGTCGACAGTTCCCGACTTCCCCGGCGGTTCACATTAATAATATATCTAATGAATTTTACAATTAGGCAATAATATTTAGCATTATAAAAAGTCCAACAGCGAATAACAAAACCTTACCGACTGCTATGAATTTTATTTTAAAAAGAAGCACTTTTATAATTTTAATTATACTACTGATAAAATGTGTGTGGCTTCATCAGTTATGAGATTTTAAAAATATTTTTCTATTATTAATTATTATAAAATTGTAAAACGCTCAATTTCAACAGTAAAGATAAATTTTATAAAAAATTGTAAACTTTAATAACTTGTAAAGTCTTCGTTATATTATACCTTTATATCTCTCCATCTCTAGACCTAAAATTACTAAAATTTAATAAAATCAATGACAGGTCACCATGTCCAGGCCATTCAGTCAGAAACAAAGTGCTTCTACTTTACTGAAGTGTCTACAATACAAGCAAACAAAATTTAGCAATAAAAATATTTTTAACAACTTAAAAAATATTTACTAATTATTCGAAAATATACATTTTGCATATCCTAACATGGATAACGAAACTTATTTGTACGATTGCCATACAATATATTTAGTACGTGTATGAATAAATCGAATATAAGAAAATGAAAACAAAATACTTTTATGACATACGACACATAGTTATTGAGCTGCGATTCGAAATAACTGTAGACGTATAAATTCCTACTGTCGATTGACTATCAGTCAGTCATTTTTAAATTTCGAGAAGAGGGTGAGACATACGAAGAACGAGACAAACCTTGGAAATCCTTTGTACGTTCGGCCCTGAACAACTATATAGAAACCTTCGTTAAAAAGCGGAAATCATACTATTTTAATTCAAATATTTTCATCTGAAAGGTATTAGATAAATGACTGGTATTACTCTGTTGTTATAAGTGTGATGTACAAAGCCAAACAACCACTAATTTCGATTCGAGTACATATTTTAAATTATATAAATTAAAAACATGATAAAAAATTTCTGTTTGTCATTCTGACCATGTCACAATAATGATTGCTCCTTATTAACTTTTATATTTATAACAAACATTAATTTTTCAGAAAATAAAGACAACAGCCAGAAGTTAAAAATGAATCTTCCGACTATGTCCTTTTTACCAATTTTGTGGAAAATTGTATTTTCTCAACGTGACAAGCGATATCACAATTTACACAACGGGATACGTATGTCAATAATATTTTATTGGATAATTTCACTGTTTATAGATACATAAATATTTTTTCTATTTTTCCAGATACTTTAAATTTATTGACTGGACTCTCTATGCTATTTCCAAACGAGAAAGTTGCCTGCCTCAACATATTCGGATATAAATTAATTTTTTTCTTACATCCAGAATCTGCAAAGGTAATATAATATGCTTAATTATGGAATTTATTCATTACGAATGGAAATATACAGTATTACGTTTTGTAGGAAGTGTTAAGAAGCAACAGTTTAATTAATAAGGACTCTACGTATAATTTTTTGAAGCCACTTCTCGGAAACAACAGTCTTCTGTACAGGTAATGCATTATTTGATATATATTTTTTTTAAGTATCGTTGTTTACATTTTGCTGAATTTAATTAAATACAGTTCTGGCGATAATTGGAGAAGAAGAAGAAAATATTTAGCTCCGCATGGACATGTTTGGAATGTGAAAAATGATCAAAATGTATTTATGGAGCATTCAAACGTCTTAGTGGAAAAACTCAATCAATTGAAGGAGAATGAGATATTCGATATTTTGGAATGGATGAAATATTGCACTCTGGATATAATTGCAGGTATTACTATCTAATGTAAAATATTTAATTAAGAATTATAAATATCAATTTTTTCATATGTAAACATTAAACTAATACTGTAGAGCGTCGATTATCCGAAAGTCAATCATCTGAAACGTCAATCATCCGAAAGAATTCCAGTCGGCAAATTTAAATTTTAGCCAGTGCTGTGGCGCTGCAATCTTTGGCTATGTCTTGGGCTACTCAAATATTTTACGTTTTTGACACTAAATTAACTTTTGAAGTATAATTTTTAATTGTTTTTATATTTTTCAATATATTTATTTTGTTTGTACAGAATAAAAAAATAAATTTTAACGATACAATAGTCTTCGTTAGGCTTAACATCGACGNTAACAACTTAAAAAATATTTACTAATTATTCGAAAATATACATTTTGCATATCCTAACATGGATAACGAAACTTATTTGTACGATTGCCATACAATATATTTAGTACGTGTATGAATAAATCGAATATAAGAAAATGAAAACAAAATACTTTTATGACATACGACACATAGTTATTGAGCTGCGATTCGAAATAACTGTAGACGTATAAATTCCTACTGTCGATTGACTATCAGTCAGTCATTTTTAAATTTCGAGAAGAGGGTGAGACATACGAAGAACGAGACAAACCTTGGAAATCCTTTGTACGTTCGGCCCTGAACAACTATATAGAAACCTTCGTTAAAAAGCGGAAATCATACTATTTTAATTCAAATATTTTCATCTGAAAGGTATTAGATAAATGACTGGTATTACTCTGTTGTTATAAGTGTGATGTACAAAGCCAAACAACCACTAATTTCGATTCGAGTACATATTTTAAATTATATAAATTAAAAACATGATAAAAAATTTCTGTTTGTCATTCTGACCATGTCACAATAATGATTGCTCCTTATTAACTTTTATATTTATAACAAACATTAATTTTTCAGAAAATAAAGACAACAGCCAGAAGTTAAAAATGAATCTTCCGACTATGTCCTTTTTACCAATTTTGTGGAAAATTGTATTTTCTCAACGTGACAAGCGATATCACAATTTACACAACGGGATACGTATGTCAATAATATTTTATTGGATAATTTCACTGTTTATAGATACATAAATATTTTTTCTATTTTTCCAGATACTTTAAATTTATTGACTGGACTCTCTATGCTATTTCCAAACGAGAAAGTTGCCTGCCTCAACATATTCGGGTATAAATTAATTTTTTTCTTACATCCAGAATCTGCAAAGGTAATATAATATGCTTAATTATGGAATTTATTCATTACGAATGGAAATATACAGTATTACGTTTTGTAGGAAGTGTTAAGAAGCAACAGTTTAATTAATAAGGACTCTACGTATAATTTTTTGAAGCCACTTCTCGGAAACAACAGTCTTCTGTACAGGTAATGCATTATTTGATATATATTTTTTTTAAGTATCGTTGTTTACATTTTGCTGAATTTAATTAAATACAGTTCTGGCGATAATTGGAGAAGAAGAAGAAAATATTTAGCTCCGCATGGACATGTTTGGAATGTGAAAAATGATCAAAATGTATTTATGGAGCATTCAAACGTCTTAGTGGAAAAACTCAATCAATTGAAGGAGAATGAGATATTCGATATTTTGGAATGGATGAAATATTGCACTCTGGATATAATTGCAGGTATTACTATCTAATGTAAAATATTTAATTAAGAATTATAAATATCAATTTTTTCATATGTAAACATTAAACTAATACTGTAGAGCGTCGATTATCCGAAAGTCAATCATCTGAAACGTCAATCATCCGAAAGAATTCCAGTCGGCAAATTTAAATTTTAGCCAGTGCTGTGGCGCTGCAATCTTTGGCTATGTCTTGGGCTACTCAAATATTTTACGTTTTTGACACTAAATTAACTTTTGAAGTATAATTTTTAATTGTTTTTATATTTTTCAATATATTTATTTTGTTTGTACAGAATAAAAAAATAAATTTTAACGATACAATAGTCTTCGTTAGGCTTAACATCAACGAAAATTCAACGCGAAGCGACACGCAACTGAGAAAAATGTTAAGATGAAATAAATTAATATATTTTTCCGTGCATAATCGGTTATCCGAAACATCGATCTTCTGAACAACTCCAGTCCCTAATTGATTCAGATAATCGATGCTCTACTGTACTTATTTTTATACTTTATACTCATTTTTCCTACTTCTTACTTTTTGATGAGCAAGAAGTAAGTATAGAAAAGTATAAAATGAAAAGTATTAAATGTATTTAAAAAAATTATATACAGAGTATTTCACAGCCTATTCACAAAGTTTCTTTTTTAAATAACTTTTGAACCGTGCAGTCTTCAGCTTTAATTTTTCGTATGTGGCGCTTTGACCAAAAAGGAATTACTTCTATTACAAAAGCAAGTTGCTTCAAAACACTTGATTTTTCCGTAAGTTTCCTTGCCTGGCCACCTTACAGCCCTGATTTGAGTCCACTAGACTTCTTTCATTGCGAATACACAAAGGATCATATGTTCAAGAATAACCCTACCACATTCTGTCAGATGAAAGAAAGCATCGAGAGAATCATGAAGGACATCTGAGATCAGACCTCTAGTAATGCCATTGCTAATTTTCAGGAGAGACTGCGCTACTGTATTTCGATAAAGGGCAGACATTTCGAAAATATATTGCGTTAATTTTCTATTCAATCTTCTATCTTTGCTGAAAATTTCATTGAAAATTCGAATTTTCAAAAAATTTATTAAAAAAACTTTGTGGAGAAGTTGTAGAACACCCCGTATATACATATGTATGTCAGCGCAACAAAAGTAAGCTACTTAACTTCCTTGAACGTAACCAACAATGAACAGGGGAAGGAATTCAAACAGTTTTTTTTACCACTTACACGTTTCACGGTAATTACGGTCTTAGTCGTGTAAATTTCTGACACGCATAACGATTTACTTTCTTGTGTAACTGCGAATTTTACTATCCCTGCGACAGTAGTTAGATTTAAAGTTGACATTATACATTAACTTTGCATAGACTAACTGATCACTTTCCTGTTTCGTCCAGTACTGTTTTCTTCTAGTGATACTACTTTGTTTCGCGATGCCTTCCCGGAACTGAATATCATTTTCAAACGACGTATATTTATTTATTTAAAATATATAAATAACAAATTATTTCTATGTAGAGATAGCAGTCGGAGTTTCTCTACATTCTCAGACAACGAACGATCAAGAATATGTGTCCGCAATACACAGGTAAGGAAAATTCAGTTTCAGATATATTTCTTCATATTTCAAATAATATTTACAAATGTAATATCTGTATTAAATAATATAATGTCACTTTTTATCTGATGAAAATTTTAAAATGTTCGTGTCAATGTCGGTAGAAACAATACGAAACATTCGAAATTTTGATTGTTTTTCAATTAACCGAATATTAAAAGTTTGTACATTATAAATGAAGTGTTTTTGCTACACGTACTGATCGTAATAAAGAGTTGTTAGAATAATGTGTAGAGAAGAGTATCGCGTTTCTAATCAAATACAATGTGTTCATAAAGTATGTATAAAAGACTTTCAGATTAATTTAATTATCAGTTATAATGTTTTAAACGTAAGCTATATGTATTTCCTACACACAGGAGAAAATTTGTAACATAAATGACAAATGTGTGACAGATCAACTTTCCTCAAAGCATATTGTTGTCGCAATAAATAACTAGTATTTATTCATCTTTGTGTTTTTCTTCTGTTCCCTCAGTACCGTAGGAGAAGTCTTTATGATAGTAAAAACTTGACGTTTAATCATCAAATAAAAACGTAAAAATATACAGTCCAGCAACTCATTTTTAATACTTCTGAAAAATAAATTAATTACGATATTGAATTAACTGCAAAGTTCCCTGTATTTTTTGAACACAAAAATAAGAAAAAACCTTTTACACAAATTTATGATTTAAAATAAATTTTATATATTTTAAATTATTTTAATTTAAGAAAATTTTATAATGTTTTACACGTGAGATAATGTGGAATATTATGTAGATTTAATAGTTGACAGTACTCTATTATTTATCCAAGCTATTAATTTGCATTAATTAGCTTTTGATATATTAATAATTTTATATTATGATTTAGAATTCTGAAATATTTTCCTAAATGGATAGCAAATCCAATGTACTGGCTGTCTCCAATTTTCTTCATTAGTAAAATAGGAAAAAATTACAAGAGAGACATTGAAATAATTCATCGTTTCGACGAAAAGGTAAACTTCAATTGTGAATAGAATTTTGATTTAAGTATTTAATGATTTAATTTAATGTGTAGGTGTTTAACAAAAGAAAAGAAAATTATATGAAAAAAATGCAGCAACAACATTCCTTAGACACAAAAACACATAATGAAGAGGATCCAAAGATGAAAACAAAACAGCGTATTATAGATACACTGTTGGATCTTCATGTGAAACAATGTTTAATATCGGAAGAAGACGTTATGAGAGAAATGGAAGGAGCCATTTTTGCGGTAGGCAGAATTTATTAAATGTGTGATCGGAAATAATTATATAATCGTGCACAAATGAATTTTATTTAATAATATTATTTTTATTATTCTGAAGTAATGTTTTTCTAAACAACGTATTGAAATATAAGTAATTCCACAAAGAATTAATTCGGCAACGAAAATTATAATTAAAATATAACGTAAAACCTATTTCAAAAATAATCATAATTACTTTCTTATTATTAGAAATTCTATTTAAGTTAAGATGTTTGTGAAATCATTACTTTTCATTCATAATTAATTATGGTAAATAATTTTTGTAATTTCGGATTATTTGATAATTTTTTAACATTTAAAAATTTGTACTTTTTAAATATAAATCTCAATTTTGTCCTTTTATATTTTTCTTATGTGAAGTGTTACAGAAAGAAATTTTGGATATAAAACAAAAAGTTTATTAATTACTGTATATTTGCTCTATTTATATACACGCAAGAA